CCGGGCTCCGGGCCCCACGACCAGGGCTCCGGGCTCCAGGCCCCACGACCCGGGCACCGGGCTCCGGGCACCGGGCTCCGGGCTCCAGGCCCCACGACCAGGGCTCCGGGCTCCAGGCCCCACGACCCGGGCTCCGGGCTCCAGGCTCGCGAGCCGGGCCCGCAGCCAGCGGCGGCCGTTGGACTCAGTTTGAAAAATCAGGCGCCAAACCGCGCGCGGAGCGAGCGGCGCGGAGGGGACGACTGGGGGAGGGGTGAGCGAGCGGGACGGTCCCGGGCTCGGCCCCTCCCACCCCTACCGTAGCCCCTGCCTCCAAAGCGGACCGCCGTGCTCTTGCGTGCGCCCCGGGGCCAGCCGGTCCTGGGTTCGAATCCCGCCCCCCGCTTCGCCCCGGCCGCGGGGCCCGAGCCTTAGCGTCCCGGGCGGGCAACGGGTCCGAGCGCAGCCCGCCGAGGGGGCTGGGAAGGCCGCACGGCCGCCGCCCCGCCCGCCCAGCGCCAAAATTTGAAAATTGTCAACGCCTCTCCAACAGCGCGGGGAGGGTGAAGTCCCAGGCCCCACCCACGGAAGGCGCAGGGCTTTCTGGGACTTGGAGTCCAGCCCCCGGGGTTCCCGCGTCGCGGGGTGCTCTCGGCCCCCGAGCCCCGCCCAGCGCTGAGAGGTCAGGGCGTGCAGCAGGGGCCGGACCCCGTCTCGCAGACGCGAAGGCCGAGGCCCAGGCCAGCCCGAGCAGCCAGCTGGGGAGAGGCCGGGAGGCGCAGGGACATCCCGGTGTCGGGAGGGGTGACAGCGGTTCACGGTGGGTGGGACCCTGCGGGACCCTGAGTTGCAGGCGCGTGGGGGGCAGGGCGCTGACCTATGGCTCCGGGCGCCGGTCCAGTTGCTTTGACGAGGAGGGGGTTGCTGCTAAGGCTGGGGGTGGAGCGCTGGAAAGGTGATCGCACGCCGCCCTCAGACCTCAGCCCTTTTCTTCCCCTCGGGCCCTGCCGCCTGGAACATCACGTGTTCTCGCTCCGCTTTAAATGCCCTCACATTCTACCAACAGTCTTTTGAATTTGATATCCCGGCGTTAGGAGGTGCAGACGACAATATCAGGTTTAAAGCACAAGGTAACGTTTGAGCAGACGGCACAGTGACAGTCTAGCTAGGGACCTGTTCCTGCCCCTTGCTTCTGGTGGAGAATATTGGCGAGCATCAGCTGTTCAAGACAGGTGGGTATGCAGGGGAGACCTCCTCGCCTCTTCCAAGGCTGGACGGGGAATCACAGACTCGGTGTGTCATTGGCTAGACTCCCTGAGGGAAGCTGTTTAAGCCACAGTCCCCCAGGTGGGATGCAAGGGAAGGAGGGGTTCTCCAGGCAGAAAGAGCACCTGGCAAGCTCCAGGGTAGGGGAAGGAAGGGGTCCTCAACTGGGGGCGATTTTGCCTCCTAGGTGACACGTGGAAATCTCTAGACATTTTGGTCTTTGGGACTGGAGCGAGGCAGTGGTGCTCCTGCCATCAGAGGGAGGCGCGGGGAGCCCAGAGGTGTTCCTCCACGTCCCCCCCCCTCCCCGAGCGCAATGCGGCCAATGTCCAGGCGCCAAGACCCTGCGCTATAGATTCTCCTCTCCTGGACATTTGATATAAGTGGAATCACGTACTATGTGGCCTTTTGTGCCTGGCTTCTTTCACAGAAGGGTGCGTGTGCATGTGTGTAATGTTGAGATGTAATTGACACAGTACACGCACGAGGTTCAGGTGGACAGCCTGACCTGATCTTTGTGCATTGGTGAAATACCCTCAGTAGGTCTAGTTAGCGGCCATCACCATACGTAGCCACAATTTTTTTCTTGTGATGAACACTTAGCAACTTCAAATGTGCAACAGTATTGTACGCGACGTCCTCGGGACTTACTCACCTTATAACTGGAAACTTGTGCCTTTGGCCGCCTTCACCTATTTTGCTCACCTCCTACCCCCCCCCCCCTACTGCCACCATCACCAACTTGTTCTCTGTATCTGTGAGCTCAGTTTTTTTAAAAAAGTTAATTTACTATTTTTTTAAAGTACTCTCTACACCCAAGGTGGAGCTCAAACTCACGACCCTTGAGTCGCGGACTCCACCGAGTGAGCAGGCCACGCGCCCCTGTGAGATCAGCTCTTTTATGTTATGATTTCACTTTATTATTTTAATTGTACATGTCAGTGACATCACTGAGCATGTTTTTCAGGTTCCTTCACCTTTAATTTTTTTTTTAATATTTTTATTTATTTCTAGGAGAGAGAGAGAGAGAGACAGCGTGAGCAGGGGAGGGTCAGAGAGAGAGGGAGACGCAGACTCTGAAACAGGCTCNTTAAATTGATAAATGACACATGTAAGCTTGGGTTAATTGACATTCATTAGGATTCACCTTTTACACTTGAAAATTTATGAAAGTTAGTGAAAATATCAGTAGAATCCAGTTCCTCAAATTATTCTTTTTTTTTTTAATTTTTTTTAATGTTTTATTTATTTCTAGGAGAGAGAGAGACAGCGCGAGCAGGGGAGGGTCAGAGAGAGAGGGAGACGCAGACTCTGAAACAGGCTCCAGGCTCCGAGCTGGCAGTCAGCACAGAGCCCGACGCGGGGCTCGAACCCACGAACCGCGAGATCATGACCTAAGCGAAAGTCGGACGCTTAACCTACTAAGCCACCCAGGCGCCCCTCTTCACCTTTAATTTTAACAGGACCCCAGAGAGGTAGGTAGGCCATGCAAGTGGGGAGCTGGGCACTGGAGGGAGAGCCGGTGTCGCTCGGCGTCGAGCGGGCAGTTTCAGGGCAGGCGGCTTGGCTTACGGCTTATGAACAGCTAAGGACCGAGCGCGAACCGGAGCAGAGGCTGGCCGGCCTAGCCCGCGCAGGAAACTACCGCTCCCGGCGTGCCCCGCGAGGTCCCCGCGGACTACAAGTCCCAGGCTACTCCGCGGCGGCGGGCGCCGGGCGCCATCTTGGTCGGCGGCGCGGATTGAATGAGCCCGCCGAGCCGCGGCCGCCGTCCCTAGCCGCGCGGGCCCCGAGCCGCCGCCGCCGCCGCCGCCTCCGCCGCCGCCGCCGCCATGGGCACGCCGCTGCCTGGCCGCGCGGGCGGGCCCGCCACGCCGCTGTCGCCCACGCGCTTGTCGCGGCTGCAGGAGAAGGAGGAGCTGCGCGAGCTCAATGACCGCCTGGCGCACTACATCGACCGCGTCCGCGCGCTCGAGCTCGAGAACGACCGGCTGCTGCTCAAGATCTCCGAGAGGGAGGAGGTGACCACGCGCGAGGTGGGCGCGGAGCCGCGGCGCCAGCCTCCGGGGGTCCCCGGGGGTTCCTCTGCGCAAGAGTGACACTGGGCAGGCCCCGCCCACGGGGGGGTTCCCCGGGGATTCGCGGGAGCCCTGGGGACGCACGCTGGGGTGGGCATCGGCCTCCGAGGATGCCCGAGGGTCTTCGAGGACCCCCGTGAGTGAGGTTTGGAGGCCAGGCGGGCCCTGCCCACCGAGGGGATCCTCAGGGGGTTTTCGGGGGACCTGTGAGCGAGGGGTGCACACTGGAGCAGGCCCCGCCCACCGAGGGGATCCTCGGATTTTTCGGGGGACCTGTGAGCGAGGGGTGCACCCTCGATCAGGCCCTGTCCACCGAGGGGTCCCGGGGATTTTTGGGGGGACCTGTGAGCGAGGGGTGCACCCTCGATCAGGCCCTGTCCACCGAGGGGTCCCGGGGATTTTTGGGGGGACCTGTGAGCGAGGGGTGCGTATTGGGGCGGGCCTCGTCCGCCGAGGCGTCCGCAGGGGGTTTCGGGTGTCTCCTGAGTAAAGAATGCAGTCTGGGGCAGACCGTGCTCTGAGGGACCCCCGGGGGATCTGGGCGTCCTCTGTACGACTGGTGGTTATGGGACAGCCCCGAGCGCTGAGTGAGCGAAGATCTGGGGATCCCCCGGCTGAGAGGGTGTGAGCCAGAGTAAGCCACGCCCCTGAGAGAGTTGCGGGGAGTCTCGGGGATGCGTTAGGCTGTTCTGGTGTCCTGGGAGGAAACCTGGTGTGGTTCCGGGGCCTCTGAGGAGCCTGGGAGTTCGGGCTGTCGGATGGGGCCCTGAGGAGCGGTGGAGGGTCCCTGGGGTGGGGGCGGGGTGGTCCCTGGGGCGAGTCCTGTGGCCTGTTCTCCGTGGAACTCTGCAGAAGTTCCTGATGGATTCTGGGGAGGTGGTTAGGCTGTAGGCTTCATCTCCTGCCCGCAGCTGGGGCGGAGGGCGTCCTAGCGGGGAGGGGGTCCCACGGCAAATTTGAGAGGTCCTCAGTCGGGCCCTGGGGAGCCCCGTTGGCTGTAGGCCCCACCGCAGAGTGGATGAGAGGGGAATGGGGAGACGTCTGGTCTTGGGGACCCACTGGGAAGTTTTGGGTTCCAGGTGGGCCCCCAGGCTTCACTTAAGACTGAGGTCTAGGGGCTGGGTAAGCCCCGCCCCCTAAGGGGATTTGAGAGCCAGATGTCTGGGGGTCGGGGGTGGGTTCTGGCCTCACCTACCCGGCACCCTGAAACCCAAGTGGGGGTCCTCTGAGTATGGGTTGGGGTGACGGGGTGCTCACCTTGCGGCGTCCCCTGAGGGCCGCTAGGAGAGCCAGGTACTGTTCTGAGCCCCTGCCTGACAGTGGACCATGTGACAGAGTCGTGGGAATACAGTAGCTGGGGGGTCATTTCTGGGAGCCACTTACCCTTTGCGTGACCTTGGGCAAGTCACTTACCCTGTCTGGGTCCCAACGCCTCTTCTGTAAAACGGAAACATCAGCACCACGTTTTGTGCTCGCTGGTGGGCCCCGGGAGTTGGTATCGGTTTCGTAGAATAAAGGACAAGGGCCCGGGAAGCCCCCTGTGGGTTCGCTGCCCCTGTTTAATAGGCGCCTTAATGGCTCAGAAAGTGGCTTGGGTGACGGGGAGGAAGAAGTTTCGATCCGGGCCCGGCTGTCTGGGCAGTGGCATTACTTACTTCGCAGGTGGCAAGGCTTGTCCTGGGAACATGGGGAGTCGTGCTGTGGGGGATGCCCCTGCCCCGCTGTGACCTTGAGGGCTGTGCACGGGCTCCAGGGGTGAGGGGTGGGCTCCCAGGATAAATGGGAGATAAAGGCCCCTCCTAACTGGGCAGTGGAGGGAGCTGGCAACGTGCGGAGGGAGGGGAAGACGGTCACGTGGGCTGTTCAGAGGGGGTGACCTGGAAATGGCCTTGGGGTACAGGGGGGCCCGGGCTTGACTGGGGTGGTGGGCAGAATTGGAGGGGCCTGGGAGGTGGCTCGGGTCGGTGGGGCGTGGGCCGAGCAGTGGGTGCTTTACCTGCGCAGAAACTTCTTACCTGGACGCAGGCCGCCCTACACGGAGTGATGTCTGGGGACATGAGTGGTCATCACAGGGGGTGCTCCCCGGATCGGGTGCGTGGCAGGGGGGGTGCCCAGGGTGGCTCTGCCCCAGAGGACGATCCAGCCCTAATGTCAAGAGGAGAAACCACTTAAGGAACCCTTTGAAGGTGCCTTTTAAAATGTCCTGAGCGTGTCACACGCTTGTCATAAAATCCAGGCGGTGGAGCTGTGTGAGGTAAAACCGCAGTGTTGGTGCTGCCGCGGGCACGCTCTCACACGGCGGGGGGGGGCAGTCGTGCTGAATAGCCATGTGCTCTGATCACCCGAAGGTTTCTGGAAGGGCTGGGGCCACGGATTCTGTTGGAGAGAGATCTGCAGGGGTGCAGGCGGGGAGGGAGTGGCGGGGAGGGAGGGGCAGTTCTCCAAGGAGCCTCCCTGGTCCGGTGTTAGGTTCCTCCGGCCTTCAGTTTCTTTTCCCTTACCTGCCCAGGTGTCCTGTTGCGGGGAGGGGGGGGGCTCCCTCTGTGGACCCGGGGGGCAGGGGCGGGGCGGGGCGAGATGGGAGGAAGTAGCGCCTGGGGCTGCCTGCGTTTGGATGTTCCCCAGAGACACAGGGACAGGAAAAGGCCACCTGGGGTTATGTGCACCCCCCCCCCCCCCCGCCAACACATGCGCACACATTTGCTCATTCCCGGCACGTGCAGAATGCCAGAAAAGACAGAACAGGCCCGAGCCGTGGGTCTCCCGGCGCCAGTGACTCACAGGTGCGGGGCCTGCCCGAGGACACCTGTTGGTGGTCTGAAAGGCAGTCTGTGAGCCCTCTCGGTGGGTCCCCTTCAAGAATTTTCTAAGTTGCCCCACTGCCGTAGAGCTGGGTCAGCGACTGTTTTCTGAAAGGGGCTGGAGTCGGCGTTTCCAGCTCTGGGGGCTGGAAGTCTCCGTCAGGGCTACGCTTCTCAGCCGCAATGGAGAGCTGCCGCAGGCGCTGTGTAAAGGAGCGGGCCAGGCTGCGTGCCAATAAAACTTTATTTATACACACTGACATGGGAATTCCTGTAATTTCCCTTCTGGGTTCACGACAATTCTTTTTCTTTTTCATTTTTTCTCCCTGCAGTCGTTTAAAGATGTAAAAACTATCCTGGGCTTGCAGGCTGGACAAAAACAGACGGTGTGATGGAGCTCGGCCTCCGGGCCTGAGTTAGCGGCTGTGCATACGGCCACACGCAGGCCTAGTCACTGCAAGAACGCGGTGTGCTGTTTGTGTTTTCGCTTTTTTAAATAATCCCTGTAACTAGTGGGGCTCTACTGACAGAGCCAGCCAGGCGCCCCTGAACTTGGTACTTTATTATTAAAAAAAAATTCTTTTTTTAATGTTTTATTTATTTTTGAGAGAGAGATAGCATGAGCAGGGGAGGGTCAGAGAGAGAGGGAGACAGAGAATCCAAAGCAGCTCCAGGCTCTGAGCTGTCAGCACAGAGCCCGATGCGGGGCTCGAACCCACAAACCATGAGATCATGACCTGAGCCGAAGTTGCGCTTAACCGACTGAGCCACCTGGCGCCCCTGAACTTGGTACTTTAAACGAGACAGTTGAGGTGGCTGTGGCGGCGTGGCCTCGGAGCCTGGAGCAGGGTTGGGACAAGGGAGCCACTTGCCTCGGGCACAGAATCCGGGGCGGGGGGTGCCAGATATCTCAGTTGTGGAGATGAGAGACAGGATGTATTTTTATTGACTCAACGTGATGTTTTAGGCCAGTTTTGGATTTACAGAAAACGGGCCAGGGGTGTACGGAGTCCCCGCGGAGCCCAGCCCCGTTCTGCTAACCCCTCGTGTCAGTGTCTGTCACAGCCCTGTCACCAGTACTGACGCCATGTTGACGTTAGAGAACACCCGTACTTTTGCTTGTGTCCTCAGTTTCCCCTAATTCCCCTGCCCCAGGACCCCCGGGGACCCCACATGGCATTCAGGTATCCTAACCCCTTGGGCCCCTCTGGACCAAGATGGTTGCTGAGGCGTCCCTTGCGCAGATGCCCTGGGCCCCCACCCGGCTCCGGACCGAGGTCGCCTTAGTGAGCATCGTGTTGGCCACTGTTCATTCCAGGAGCCCCTGCCTAGTGAGGGGAGGGCGTGAGGGAAAGGGCCCCAGCCTGGCGGATCTTGTGTATGATGCTCCCTCGGGCTTGGGAGAGTTCTAGAAGGTAAGATGCCAGGAGATGGGGCAAAAACACACCCGTAAACCCAGGTGCCCGGCTCCCTGTGGAGGGAGGAGCCGCCGCACTGTGAACTGAGTGATGCCGGAAGCCAGTTCCCAGCGTTGGAAACAGCGAGTGTGGCCAGAGGTGACCACCTTTGGGGGGGGCTTGCTCCTGGGGGTGCAGGAGGGAGAAGCTGGCTTTGTCTCTACTCTCCCTGTTGTGTGTCCTGACCTTGGAGTTGTGCCCAGCAGACCGGCCCCGCACCTGGCGGGTCAGGGGGCCTCAGCTCCCGGCTCCCTGCCTGGGAAGGAGGCCCGGGAACCTGCGCCCGTGTCAGCTGTGCGAGGGGTGCCTGGGAGCTGCTGGACTGAGGCACAGAGTCCCCAGGCCAGCGGCGGTGGCTCGCGGGGTCTCAGACTAGCTGTCAAAACCCCAGCTCTCGGGGCGCCTGGCCGGCTCCGTCCGTGGAGTGTGTACCTCTTGGTCTCCAGGTCAAGTTCAAGCCCCATGTTGGGTGTAGAGATTACTTAAATAAATAAAACTTAAACATAATTTTTTTAGGGGCGCCTGGGTGGCTTAGTCGGTTGAGCGTCCGACTTTCGCTTAGGTCATGATCTCGCGGTTCGCGGGTTTGGGCCCCGCGTCGGGCTCTGTGCTGACTGCCAGCTCAGAGCCTGGAGCCTGTTTCAGTCTGTGACTCCCTCTCTCTCTGACCCTCCCCTGCTCACGCTGTCTCTCTCTCTCTCTCCTAGAAATAAATAAAACATTAAAAAAATATTTTTAAAAAAATAATTTTTTTAATAAAAAAAAGGAAACCCCAATTTTTCTGAAGAGTCCCAATTCCGGAGGCTCTTCGGCCCCTGGCGAACCAGGATGGTGGTGACCGAAGCACGTGGCAGGCCCCTCTGCCCAGGGACCTCTCCTGTGGACGTGAGGGGCCCAGCCCGCGGCCGCCTTCCCGTCTTCAGCGGCTCTCCTGAGCTAGGATTCCCGTCTCCCACTGCTCGTCCCATCATACTCTACCCTCCGTGCTTTTAGCATGTTCAGAATGGTGCAGCCAGCATCTTTGTCCAATTCCAGAACATTCCATCTCCCCAAAGGAACCCCGTCCCCATCAGCTATCACCTTCTTCCCCCTCCCCCATCCCCACGATCCCCTTCCTGTCCGTGGAGGAGCCTGTTCCGGACGTTTCACACACATGGTCTCACACCCCACATGGCCTCTCGTGTCTGGTTCCCTCTCTGAGTGTCGTGTGTTTGGGGTCCGTCCGGGGGGCGGGCGGGTGGGGGCGCCTCGCCCCTGCTCATGGGCGGGTGCGTGGATGGGGCGCAGCGCGTGTGTGTTCGCCCGGATGGCCTCGTGGGTTGTGTCCACTCTGGCTGCTGTGAATGGTGTTGCCGTGAAGACACACCCAGGTTTATGTAGACTCCTGTGTTTCTGGACAGATGGGTACTTGGCGGAATTGGTGGGTTGCAGGTGACTGCTCGCCCATCTGAGGGGGTGCCTGACGGTCTTCCTCAGCGGCTGCTCGACCCCCCCCCCCCCCGTGCATGGAGGCCCCCATTTCTCTGTGTTGCCAACATTTGTTTTCATTTGTTTGGCCCCAGCTCCCAGCGGGTGGATGGGATGTCTCCTGTCCCGGTTGGGGTCCAGATCTCTGTATACACGTGTGCGTGGTCCTGGGCACGTGGGCGTGGGGGACCTTGGCAGGGGACGGGCCACGTGGGCACGTGGGGCCAGCGGGGCTGACCTGCGGTCGGTGGGGAAGGGGTTTCTCTGACCTGGGCCTCCCCGAACCCCCTCAGGTGAGCGGCATCAAGACGCTGTACGAGTCGGAGCTGGCCGACGCCCGCAGGGTTCTGGACGAGACGGCCCGAGAGCGGGCCCGGCTGCAGATCGAGCTGGGGAAGGTGGAGGCCGAGCTGGAAGAGGCGAACAAAAGGTAGGTCTGCGGCCGCTGTGTGGCGCCCTCACTGCGCGCTGCGCCCCCGGGACAGAGCCCTGGCGCCGGCCGGCCGAGGGGAGCTCCCCGATGCCCCTTCCCAGCATCGCTCAGCCCGGGGGAGAGCTGTTTGTTTTCTTTGCAAAAGTTGATTTATTCTGAGAGGGTGGGAGGAGCAGAGAGAGAGAGAGTCCGTCCCAAACAGGCGCCGCACTGTCAGCGCAGAGCTGGGTACGGGGCTCCGTCTCCCCAGCCGTGAGGTCCTGACCTGAGCCACATCGAGAGTCGGACGCTCATCCGACTGAGCCCCCCAGGCGCCCCCGCCCAGGGCGGATTTCAGACCCCGAGCAGCTTTCCTGAAGCGGAGTCTGCAGGGAGCTATCGGCACGGGTTCCCTCCACTCCCAGGTCGGAGGACGGCCCGGGCCACACAGCCCAGCCTCCCCCTTCTCTGCCCGGGATTTGGGAACCACTGGTGTGCGGCCCCCCGTGTCACGGGCCCCCAGGGACCTTGCCGCCTGCCTCGTGTACGCAGTGGCCCTCACCCCCCGTGGCTCCTGTTGGGAGCCCGCCCGGGGAAACTGCGCTCCGCTTCCGTGTCTTCCCCCCCCTCCCCCCCCATAGTCTTAGCCTTGACGCAGGCCGGCAGGGGCTTTTCTCTTCTTCAAAAGCACACGCTCTGGGCCGCCTGTGAGTATAAGGGCCGCACGGGAAACGTCGGATCCGCGTTCTGCCGGTGGGGACAGCCGAACGGGGTACTTGATCAAGGACCCCGTGCGCCATGGTGGGCAGTCACGTGGCCCCGCCGTAAGCCTCACACCTGCCAGGGCCGCACCGTCACGGTCTCCACTCCGGACGGCAAACAGGCAGGGGCCGGGCTGTTCCAGGGTCCCTCAGCTTGGCGGTGACTGGGACTGCAGCCTGGTCCCTGAGTCCCTGCCCAGCCGCCACCAGAGTCATCACCACACTTGTGGGGATTTTTCCTTCCTTTTTTTTTTATATATAGAGTTTGGGTTTTTTTATTTTTTTATTATTATTGTTTTAAATGTTTATTTCTGAGAGAGAGAGACAGCGTGAGCAGGGGAGGGTCAGAGAGAGAGGGAGACACAGAACCTGAAGCAGCTCCAGGCTCTGAGCTGTCAGCACAGAGCCCGACACGGGGCTTGAACCCACGAACCATGAGATCATGACCTGAGCCAAAGTCGGACGCTCAACCGACTGAGCCACCCAGGCGCCCCTGGGGTTTTTTAAAGGCAGTTTTACGTTTATCGGAGAACGAGTGGACAGTACAGAGTTTCTGAAGTTCTCCCTCCGCTTCCCCGCTACACAGCTCACCCCTCACCCCCCACGGCACCAAGCGCTGCGCTGTCGTAGTGGACGAGGCAACACCAATGCGTCACCGTTAACTGAAGCCCGTGGCTGACGTCAGGGCTCAGCCCCGGGTGCCCCGGCCGCCGTCTGCACGGATGCCCTGTGTGCACCTCCAGCGCCCGTCACAGCTCTGCCCCCGGGGTCTCCTGCCCCACCCCGCCCTCCGCCCCTGCTCCCTTCACCGCCTCCGTCGCTCTGCCTTTTCCAGAATGTCCTAGACTTGGAACCACACGGTGTGTGTGGCCTGCTCAGCTGGGCTCCTGTCACTGAGTGATGGGCACCTGTGGTTCCTCAGTGGAATGGCTTTGCTGGGCCAGGACAGGGGGCCCAGACGCGGGCCACACGCTGCGCTCACCTGGCCTCTGGCCAGGGGACAGAGGCAGGTCCTGCTGTGTAAGCGGCCAGCCTGACTGCCAGCCCGTGTGTTTGGTCTGTCTTTTCATTAGCAAGTGATCGGTGCTTCTTGCAGAAGGTTGAGGGAGTTCCAGGGTCAGCACCGCCGGGGACCCCAGCCTCTCTCTCTCGTGTCAGTGCGGAGTGGGGAACTCTCCAGATGCTCCTTGTCTGGGCCCAGAAGTCTTCCTTTTTCCCACTTACCGGTCACAGATGCTCACTGTCAAGAAAGTGGTTCAGAGAGAAGCAGCACGCGTGGCGCCAGCCTCCACTCGGGTCGCCTTGGTGGCTCTGCTCTTCTCTGCCCTGCGGGTCTGTTCTGTGTCCCCGCAGGCACCTCCACCAGCTGATGGTGGACGTGTGAGGCAGCGAGGGGGCACTTCGCGGACATTCCCGAGGCCATGAGATGCCCTCTGCCAGGACCCTGGCTGCTGGGAGGCCCCCCCCCCCGTGCCTCACCAGTGGTGCCAGGCTGTGCGCCGCCAGCCCCATTGTTCCCGGGACAGCCTCCGCGGGGGGCAGCTGCGGGGGGGGGGGGCAGCTAGGACACGAGGGATGGTGAACCCTGCGGTGCCAGAGGGAGGGGCTCTAAGCCTCTGGGCTGGAACCTTCCAGTGAGGCCCCTACTCCAGAAGGAAGCCTCCGTGTGCTGGCGGGCCTGTGGACGCCCCCCCCCGCCCCCCACCTTCGGAGTCTGCAGGTGCTTCGCGCCATTGCCTCGCTCCCTGTTTTCCGCGCAGGAGCCCTTCTAGAGCAGGGTAGCTATTTAGATCTAGTGCCTTCCTTTGCCTAAACAATTTATCACCACATCCCGGAGGAGGGCGATGTGGGTGGCCATGTGGAGGACCTGCCAAATGGGCTGGACTCGCCCACGTAACGCTCCAGGACTTGCTGTTACGCCCGTGAGTGACCTGCCTTTGCGCCTTGAAGCTCGCAAGACGCGTCCAGTGAGACATAAACCAGTGCGAGCCACCAGTGCCCCTGCTTTCTGCACCGCTCTGTGTAGTTGTGTGGGATACCGAGCACTAGATAGTTTTCAAGAGGTTTCCATGTTCCCTGATGCCTGGGTGCCGGCCACTCTGGCTTTGTCGCTGATCTCAAAGTTGGCGGGCACACCTCACCCCAGGGCCTTTGCACTGCCTCACCCCAGGGCCTTTGCACTTCTGCCTCTTCTGCCTGAACGCTCTGCTCCTGGAAATAACAGATCTGGCTCCTCCTGCTGCTGCCTCATGCAGCTCTCAGGGGCCGCCCCCAGCAGTGCTGGCGGGACTTAAAAGTACGATTCTGGGGCGCCTGGGGGGCTCAGTCAATTAAGTGTCCGACTTCGGCTCAGGTCATGATCTCATGGTTCATGGGTTTGAGCCCCGCGTCGGGCTCTGTGCTGGCAGCTCAGAGCCTGGAGCTGCTTCAGGTTCTGTGTCTCCCTCTCTCTCTGACCCTCCCATGCTCACACTTTCTCAGAAATAAATAAAAATATTAAAAAATTTTTAAAATAAAGTACGAGTCCCACCCAGCTCTTGCCCACCCGCGTCTCTTCTGAACCCTGCTTCATCTGATGCAGACTCATGTCTGGCGGGCAGCGCGTCTCCCTGTTGTCCGGCGAGCAAGTTGTACATCCTGAGAGCGAAGGTGCCCCGAGGGCTTCCTGCAGGAGGAAGGGCGGTGCTCTCTCCGTAAAGCGCGAAAAGCGGGAAGTGGGTTCTCAGTAATGGTTGTCAGATGAGGGGTTTGTTTCCCCCAAACCTCTGCAAAACCTGCTCCAGGGGCTCAGGGTCTGCAGCCCCTGCAGAGCCAGAACCGTGTGGCTGCAAGGACCCTGCGACCCCCGTGGCTGGGGGGGGGGTGACGACCATATATGGCTGGACAGAGCTCCCCGTTCATGGGGCCGCTGTTGGGGACGTGGGCAGCTTGGCGGTCAGGGTCACTGGTCTTTACGCCAGCCCACGTCACGTGAGCTGGTGCGGGGTCCCCACTGCTTCTCCCCGAGGGGAGGGTCAGGGATGCTGCTCAGCCCCCACAGTGACCCCCATGATCAGGGCTGGGGGAACACCCTGGGTGTCCCCACCCTCGATGGACATGGCTCCCTCAGTTCCTTCGCGGGGAGGTGGCCATGTGTTCGACTCCAAGGTTGAGAACTTTGAGCATCGAGGCCCTGAGGCCCACGCTCGTGAAGCAGCTGTGCGTTGAAGAATCTGTTGGCCATCTTTAACATCGGGAAAGCTGTCGATCAGGATACCAGATGAACCTGCTTATTTATTTATTTTTAATGTTTTATTTCTGAGAGAGAGGGAGAGACACAGCGTGAGCAGGGGAGGGGCAGAGAGAGAGGGAGACACAGAATCTGAAGCAGCTCCAGGCTCTGAGCTGTCAGCACAGAGCCCGATAGGGGGCTCGAACCCACAAATCCTGAAATCATGATCTGAGAGGAAATCAAGAGTCTGATGCCCTGATACACGTTAACTTTTTAAGAAATTGTTCTCCCCTAAACGATCCATCCAGTGTCCAGAAATCACACAGAATGACCTTCAAGCTCTTCCCTGGGGGTCTGGGGCGCTGTGTCTGGTGGCCGGTGGGGCCCTGATGGGCGGGCTCTGTCCCCGAGGGTCGCTCCCACCTGCTCCCGCCCAGGTGAGGTTGGCCCCGGGCTTCGCGGTGCTGCCCCCCCCCCCCCCCCCGCCGCCGCCGCCGCTGAGTCCGGCTCTTACCTTTCAGCTCCAAGAAGAGGGAGGGGGAGCTCGCGGTGGCCCAGGGCCGCGTCAAGGATCTGGAGTCCCTCTTCCACCGGAGCGAGGCGGAGCTGGCCGCCGCCCTCGGCGACAAGCGGGGCCTCGAGAGCGACGTGGCGGAGCTGCGGGCCCAGCTGGCTAAGGCGGGTCTCGGGGGGCCCCGGCCTGGGGGAGGGGAGGCCCGGCGCCGGTGTGCGGGTGCCGCGGGGCCCAGGCGGCGCCCGTCCCGTTGGGAGCGAGAGGGTTTCCAGCCTGGCGACGGCCCGTCCCTGTGTTTACGGGGAGGCCCCGCGCCCCGAGAAGCCATGTGGTAGGGCCGACTGTCACGTCCCCGTGCTGTCCTGTGTCCCCCAGGCGGAGGACGGTCACGCGGTGGCCAAAAAGCAGCTGGAGAAGGAGACGCTGGCGCGCGTGGACCTGGAGAACCGCTGCCAGAGCCTGCAGGAGGAGCTCGACTTCCGGAAGAGCGTCTTCGAGGAGGTGCGGCCGCTGCCCAGGGTCAGGGGCCCCGACGGCGTGGGCCGGGGGGCGGGGCCTTCGGCCTCTGCCAGCCTGGGGGGCCTCCGGGCACCTCCCCATCTGAGCCTGCCCTCACCTGGCCTCTGTCCTTCCCCAGACCCTTGTCACTGGGTCTAGGCCCACCCAGGTAATCCAGAGCGATCGGATTTTGAGACTCTTAATTGCATCTGGAAAGCCCCCTCTTCCAGATAAGGTCCCGCGGCAGGTTCTAGGGACTAGGACATGGACTCCTCTTTTGGGCGCCACCGATCAACCCGCAGCAGACCCTCCCCAGGGAGGGAAGGGAGGCCCATCTGCTTCCCTTGCTTCCCGGATCTCCCCCTGCCCTTAAACTCCGGGCCCGCCTGGGAGCGAAGGGGCGCCTCTGGTGGTTAGAGCAGGGGCTTCTGGGGCCCCTCCCAGCCCGTCGTCACAGAGCCCATTGTCCTGTCACGGCCAGGACGGAACCCTGGGGCCCTCACTGCCGCCCTCACTGCCGGGGCGAGCTGCCGCGGGAAGGATGTCCATGCTCCTGAGGAGCGGTGTGCCGCTCCAGCCGTGCCCCGTGAGAGCCAGGGCCGCCAGGGGCCTCGGGGAGCGGCCCGCGAGGGGACCCCTGAAGGCAGCCACCAGAGCACCGGAGCCTTCGAGGGGATCTGGAAGGGACCGTGGCCTCGGGAGGAGCCCCTCGGAGGCACCAGTGAAGGACACCGGGGGGCCCCGGAAGGCAGGGGTGAGGGGGCCTGCCAGGGGAGCCGGAAGGGCACCCGGGAAGGGTTCCTGGAGGGGTGCCCTGAGGCAGGCATCCGTGAAGGTGGGTGTGCTGTTCGTGGGTCGTTGTAAACAGGGTTGGCTTCCTTGAGAGGCATTCCTATTCTTACAGGTGACCACGCACTGTGATAAGTGACAGCCCTCTGTGCTGGGGTGGGGGGACCTCCCCTTCCCTGGAGCCGGAGGCTGGTGAACGGCGCCCTCTGCTTGCCTGTGACCCCACCGTGTGCCTGGGACAGCTGTGCGTGGGGCCCCGGGTTTCCCAGGCGTTGCTGTGTGTGCTCTGCTGCCCCGAGGCCCGGGTCTCTCTCTCAGACCCCAGGCCCCTGAGCCAGCCGGTCAGGGATTGTTTCCACAGCTTCACTGACATGCTCCCGGGGGTGCCTGGGTGGCTCGGTCGGTGGTTAAGTGTCACACTCCTGATTGAGCCCGTGTCTGTGTCTGGCTCTGGCTCCTCGCTGGCCCTGGAGCCTGGAACCCGCTTGAGACGCTCTCTGCCCCTCCCCCGCGCAGGCGCGCCCACGGTCAGTCGCTGGCGCCCTTTCTGAAAGAAAAGACGAAATATTGCCATACCCCAAAACTTTCAAAGTATACACTTTGGTGGGTTTTATATTTAACTCCAGAATATTCCGTCAGCCCAAAAAGGAAGCCCTGTCCCGATCAGCAGCCACCCCTCCCTCCCCCAGCACGGAGCCCCCACGAGCCCCCGCCCGCCCGGGGAGGAGCCTGTTCCGGACGCGTCCCGCACGCGGACCCTCACCCGCGTGGCCTCCCGCGTGTGCTTCCCGCCCTGAGCGTCGTGGGTCGGGCCCGTCCGCGGGCGGCGGGGGCGGCGGACACAATCCGTTCGGCGGGCGGGTCGCGGGGCTGACGCGCGCTGTGCCGCAGGAGGTGCGGGAGGCGCGGCGGCGGCACGAGCGCCGCCTGGTGGAGGCGGACAGCAGCCGGCAGCAGGAGTACGACTTCAAGATGGCGCGGGCGCTGGAGGAGCTGCGCGGCCAGCACGACGAGCAAGTGCGGCTGTACCGGCGGGAGCTGGAGCAGACCTACCAGGCCAAGGTGCCCGCGCCGGCGGCTGGGCGCGCGGGGTGGCCCCGCGCCCGCCGCCGGCCGCTCACCTGCCGCCCGCGTCCCTGCAGCTGGACAGCGCCAGGCTGAGCTCCGACCAGAACGACAAGGCGGCCAGCGCCGCGCGGGAGGAGCTGAAGGAAGCGCGCATGCGGGTCGAGTCCCTCGGCTACCAGCTGTCCGGCCTCCAGAAGCAGGTGCTCCCCGAGCCCGGCTCCCCGCGCCGCTGCGGGGCCCCCTGCGGGTGTGGGCGCTGGTGACGCGCGTGCGGCCGCCCCTTCCCTCCTGGCCGGGGCGGGGGCGCCGTCGGGCCCGCCGGCCACCAGAGCTCCCGGGTCTGGGGCCCCAGCCGCGCGTGCGGGACGCGGGGAAGAGCCCCGGGGCCGCGAGGGCTCCCCTCCCCCCCCCCCGTGACCTGCGGAGGCCGCGCTGACCTGGCCGCCCCGGCCCCTCCCAGGCCAGTGCCGCGGAGGACCGCATTCGCGAGCTGGAGGAGACCATGGCCGGGGAGCGGGACAAGTTCCGCAAGATGCTGGACGCCAAGGAGCAGGAGATGACAGAGATGCGCGACGTGATGCAGCAGCAGCTGGCCGAGTACCAGGAGCTGCTGGACGTGAAGCTGGCCCTGGACATGGAGATCAGCGCCTACCGCAAGCTGCTGGAGGGCGAGGAGGAGAGGTGGGGGCGGGGCGGGGCCTGGGGGGGGGGCTTGGGGGCAGCGGCCGCTGGCCCCTTGGGAGCTCTAGTCGGCCCCCCTTGTCCCCCAGGCTGAAGCTGACCCCCAGCCCGTCGTCGCGGGTCACTGTGTCGCGGGCCGCGTCGAGCGGGAGCAGCGTGGCCGTGGCCGTGACCGGGCGCCAGGGGCGCAGCAAGCGGAAGCGGCTGGAGGCGGAGGAGTCGCCGGGCTCGAGCGGCGTGGGCTCGGGCGGCGGCGGCGGCAGCGGCGGCAGCGCTTTCCACCTGGCGCAGCAGGCGTCGGCCACGGGCGGCGTCGCCATCGAGGAGGTCGACCTGGAGGGCAGGTTTGTGCAGCTGAAGAACAGCTCGGACAAGGTGAGCGGCCTGCGTCCCCGGGTCGGGGCCCCACGGGGTCCTCCCCGAGCTGTGTGTCAGGCTGCGCGTTTCCCCTTCGCCAGGATCAGTCTCTGGGCAACTGGAGGATCAAGAGGCAGGTGGTGGAGGGGGAGGAGATCGCCTACAAGTTTACGCCCAAGTACGTGCTGCGCGCCGGCCAGACCGTCACGGTAGGTGGCTGTGGGAGGGCGGTGGGTGAGTGACTGGGCTCTGAGAACAGCTGCTTCTTGTCACGGGTCACCCGTGTGCCACTATTGTGCCGCTGGACCCTCCCCGGAGCCCTTAGTAGCACCTTGGTCCCATTCGGAGAAGGATCCAGGCTGGGCTGGCGGGCTTTGGTGAAAGATGTTAACAGCCACAGGCATGGACCCCTGGAGCTGTTGGGCTTCTGACCCCAGCACAGCCATCGTTTGCTGAGATGAGAGCCATGGGCCACCCTGAACCTCAGTGTCGTCTTCTGTACCCTGGCAATAGACGTCCCTTGGAAGACCCAGGGGCAGTGAGGGAACCGGCTGGTGGCACGGGAACTGGGGCCAGAGCTGGCGTTGATGGGGAGGCCCCGCTGTGTCCCCAGGTATGGGCGGCTGGTGCAGGAGTGGCCCACAGCCCCCCCTCGACGCTCGTGTGGAAGAGCCAGAACAGCTGGAGCACGGGCGAGAGCTTCCGGACTGTCCTGGTCAACGCTGATGGGGAGGTGGGTGCCCGAGGCCTGCCCGGGGATCCCTTCTGTCCTGGTCCTCGGGTCCCTCCGGGAGGCTCCCTGACCAGCCCTTACGCACCCCTGGCCGCTGTAGGAGCCCTGGGGTGGGGCTTTGGCCCACGGGGCCAGTGAGGCGACCCTGGCTTTGGGGTGCTGTTCTGCGGTGCGGGGAGGCCTGACCACCACCCCGCGGGCTGGGCCCCCGCACCCGCGGGGTCAGGCGTCCACCGTGGCTCTTCTCATGCAGGAGGTGGCCATGAGAACCGTGAAGCAGTCGTCGGTGGCGCGGGAGACGGAGAACGGGGAGGAGGGAGAAGAGGAGGGAGCCGAGTTCGGCGAGGAGGACCTTTTCCATCAACAGGTAGGGGCCCCAGGTGGCGTGTGTGGCCGCACACTGAACACGCCCAGCCACCCTCCTCTGGCGGGGTCCCCAGGTCCCCAAGGTTCTTGGCACAGTCCAGGCCTCAGCCCCCGAGGGCCGCACAGCTTGTAGCCAGAGATGCGGGGAGTCCCTGCCTCCTGGCTCTTGCCCATTGTGGGGTCTCAGGGTTCTGGCCGGGGGCCCCCAGGACTGGGGTGTTGAACCCTGAGCACTGCTAGGCGGCACCGGTGTAGCCCGGAGGTCCTCAGTGAAGGGACTCTGGTGCCCCTGCCCCTCCAGCCTGAGACACCGGGGCCTCCATAATGGTTGGAGGGGTGGGAGGGGAGAGCTGTGGTGGGCGGGGCCTTTCCGCCGCAGCTCTAAGTCCTGAGACTTGGGTCAGACATTTAAGTTGTGATGAGTTGTGCAGCTCAGAAGGGAGATGTGGAAGGTCCTGGAACGGACAGTTGAGGCTGGAGCTGCTGGCCCTGTCTTCTCGCTGGGCGCTAGTGCCCTGCGCGGGCCCTGTCCGGCCCGTCTGGCAGGGGTGGGGGCCGCCAGCTACCAGCCTAGGCAAGCGGGCTGGCGCCGGCCTCTAAGGCTGCTGGCCTCTCCTTCCAGGGGGACCCGAGGACCACCTCGCGAGGCTGCCGCGTCATGTGAACCGAACTCACCTCGGCCCGTCTTTACCCAGAGCCACTGAAAACTATTTTTATACCATTGGCCGTCTTTAGTCCTTGATACATTTCTAGAGAATTTTTAAGCAAACTGCCAGAACATGGGGGCGGGGCTCTGCGATCTGTGCTGTCGGTGGCTTCCTCGGGCCCTCCCTTCATCGCCTCTGTCTGGACATGGTTTTTTTTTTTTTTTTTTTTGGTGCCGCATTTCACCATTTGGCTGAGTTCGAGGCCGAAGAACCTAATAGCTGCCGGGGGCGGGGTTTGGAGGGGCGGGGGCGCGGTGGGGCGCAGGGGCGCGACCCTCTCCCGCTGCCCCGCCACAGGGCAGGCGCCAGGACCCACCTGTGGGGCTCAAGTGGGCGGAGAGCAAGGATGCCCGGGAGTTGCGTTGTCTGTTAAGCTTTTTAAAAACCAAATCCAGAGCCCAGGTCGTGACCTGGCGGGGACCGCGCACCCCACGTGGAATTTGGCAGCTGGGCCGGAGACCGGAAGCAGGTAGTGGGGACGGGCTCTGCTTGTACCCCGCTCTGCGCATGTGCGGCTGCAGGCCGGGTGTCTGGGCATGCGTTGGGGGCTCTGGTGGGCCCCCTTCTCCCTTCCTGGCTGTGGGGCCCTCAGGTTTCTGGAGCTTTCTCTAGTTGAGTTCCTCAGCTTGCAGGACCGGCGGGGCAGGAGACCTGGAAACCCCGGGGGCGGGGACAGCTCCGTCTGGAGTCTTGTCACCAGGTCAGTGGCAAGGACGCAAGCGAGCGTCCGCGTGTGACAGCCGCTTCCCGGGCCTCCGACCGGAGAGCGGCCTCGGGGTGAGCCCCCCGCCCCTTTCTCCAACTCTGTGCCTTGTGCACGGGGCTGAGTGCGGGTCCCCACCCGCTCCCGTGTGCTCGCGGGTCCCGCTGTCCTGTCTTCAGGGGGCGACTTCCTTCTCTGACCGACGTGCTGGTGCGGCCACCCCGCCCTGCCCGCCGCCTGCACCCGCTGACCGTTCATACCCCCTCCCACATAGAAACACAGAAGTTATTTTTTTAATGGATATTTATTTTTTTACATTGGTCAGTACTCAGATTGCCGGATCCCACTTCAGGGCTCGAGCCAGGGTCACTGGGACAGTCCCCCGAGGGGGTGGAGTTGCGGGGGGCCAGCTCGGTGACCGCTGAGGCCGCGGACGGCAAATTCCTTCAGAAAGCGCAGCTCAAGTCTTAAAGAGGAATACTGAGCCATGGAGGCACCCCGCCCCCGAAGGTGCCTCCGTTACCGGGCGGGCCCCTCCCGCTCGCCCCGGGCTGGGAGCAGCGCCCAGAGGCGGCCGGCCTGTCTCCCTTTCCTTGGAAGCTGTCTGTGGCCAGGAGGGTTGGAGGCTTGTTAGGTGGCAGAGGGTGAACACTGCTGCATCCAGAGTCGGCCTGCAGCCCCCTTGCTTTAGGTCTGGTACTTTCCGTGGCCACCCGAGTCATCAGGCTGTGGGCTTGGTATTTCTCGCGAAGGGAGATGTCTCACCACTACCCCTCCCCCGGTTCTGGCGGGTCCTGCGGATGCACCAGCCCCCGGCCCACGCGTTGCCCTTTGCAGGAGTGTCTCCGGGCCCCCGAGGGGCTGTGCCCCCCACACCCGCATCACAGGAACTGCGCGCACAGTGAGGGTCTGGGGCACAGACGCCGAGGCATCGGGCAGGTGGGGGTGGGGGACCTCCAGACACACCGTCTGCGCTGGTCTCAGCCACATCCTGCGAGGTGTTGGGGGTGGGGGCGGCGCGTGTGGACAGGGAGTGGCCCCACCGCTCCCACGGGCCCAGATGCTTCATGACGTCCTTTTCGGTTCCGGGCAGGGCCCCCAGGTGCACGCGTAGGGCTTGTTCCCGGCAGGCGACACCTGTCCTCTCCAAGCCGGCTCCGGCCTTCCCCTGCCCCCCGAGGCCGTGGTGGCCTGGCCGAGGTCCTGGGTGGAGGGGTGAAGTGGCTCAGGCACCGCGGTGCCCTTGTCTGGTGGGGGGAGGGTAAGCTAGGGGCCCTTGGTGACTGCAGGCGGGCGACGTCGTTGGTGAGGGAGTATCTGGAAATCCGGAGTGGAACCCAGGGCTCAGCTGGCAGCGCTGGCCTGGGCTGGCAAACATTCTTAGCTTTAAGCCGCTTCCAACGACGCGGGGACGATTCCTTTGTCCCGAGTCCCACCCGGTAACCGGGCCGGGCCAGCGGCTCCGCAGGTGGGGTCCCGCCCCACGGCCCCAAGGATCGTCAGCACAGCCTGCCCGGGCCCGGCTCGGCGGACGGCCTCCAAGGACTTGCATGCCAAACGTGTGGTCTTTTTCTTTCTCCGATGATTTGTAATATGCATTTTATGACCGGAAACTTTTTGTACAACACTCCAATAAACATTTTGGTTTTAAGTTCTGCCCCCAAGTCCATTCTGACGCGGCCGCCCCAGCCTGGGGACGGAAGGGGCGTGCGAGACCCCGGGCCACTCCCTGGCGGTGCCCGCGCCTCACAGGCCGGGCTGCACCCTTCGGTCACGCGACGCGCCCGACGGTCTGTGCACATGCGCGGTGGGCTCCGCAGGACGAGCCGGGGAGGCGCTCCCCGCGGGCTCGGAAAGCCAGCTGCGGCCTGCGCAGAAGGTGGCTCCTATCCGCGCATGCGCAAGGGTGGGCGCACAGCTTTGTGGGAATCGTGGTCCGACAAGCTTGGACTCCACTTCCCGTGGTGCCCTGGGCGAGTAACTTCCGGTGCGGGTACGGGTCGGCGCACGCGGTCTCGATTCGGTTGAATTTGCGGAGCCATGGAGGGTGGCTTCGGCTCGGACTTCGGGAGCTCCGGCGGCGGCAAGCTAGACCCGGGACTCATCATGGAGCAGGTGAAGGTGCAGATCGCCGTGGCTAACGCGCAGGAGCTCCTGCAGGTCCGTCCGGGGTCGGGCCGGGGAGGGCGCCGAGGGCAGTGGGGTCCACCGGGCGCGGCTGTCGCGGCTGAGCTCGCGTTGTCCCCACAGAGGATGACGGACAAGTGCTTCCGGAAGTGCATCGGGAAGCCGGGGGGCTCCCTGGACAATTCGGAGCAGGTGAGGCGCGTGGGGCTGCGGGGAGGCACGTACGCGTGCGCGGACCAACGGGCGTCGCGGTGGGACGAGTGCGCGTGCGCGGCCCGCTGCTGGGGGTCGGGGCGCAGGCCGGGCCGCTGCTGAGCCGAGCCGTGCCCCCTTCCCGCCCGCAGAAGTGCATCGCCATGTGCATGGATCGCTACATGGACGCCTGGAACACCGTGTCCCGCGCCTACAACTCGCGGTTGCAGCGGGAGCGAGCCAACATGTGACCCCCGCGGGCCGCGCTCGGCCCCGCGGGCTCCCTGCAGGCCCCCGCCCCCATCCCCCGTTCCGTTTCCATAAAGCCCCTTTGTGAAGCGGGGACCCGCCTGTGCATCCTGCCTGCCCGTGGTTCCTGAGGACGAGACCGGTGCCGCCACACCGGGGGCGCCGCTCCCTCCCGCCTGCCAGCCAGAGCAGCTTGGGTCTTGGGGGGCCCGGGGACTTCCCAGAATGCAGGTGGCGCGAACCCTGCGGAGTCCAGGCTCACCTTTCTCTTGGGGCAGAGTCCGCCCTCGGGCCTGGGGGCGTGGTCAGGCCCCACCTGGCTGTGGGGACCAATAAACTAGGGAGGGGCGGAGAGAACCCGGGGGACCCGGTCGGTGTCCCCCGGAGGGGTTTCTGCAGGAGGTGGCCCGGTGTGATCCCGGGTCCCCTGACCAGCCTGCGCCTTTCCCCTCTGCGCCCCCGCTTTCCAATGACGATGACCGGGAGCCCGTTGCTCACACGAAAGGCTGCTTGAAGAGGAGGCCGGCCAGAGCCCCCCCCAGCTCTGGCGCCGAAGACCGAGGGTAGCCCCGTCTCGGCGAGGCCTTGCTGCCCCTTCCCCGCGCTTCCCAGATCGGGGCCCCGGGTGAGTGGCAGCAGCGGTCCTGCTGTGATACGGAGGTGCTGAGCCAGCAGGCTAGGGACGAGGGGCTGTTTATTGGATCCAAATATGCATTAAACCTGCACCCTTCACCCGGCAGCCCCTCACCCCCGCCCGCCTCCTAGACTCCCCTCCTCGGGCGGAGGGGCCAGCTGGTTCCTGTTGCCGTCACCTCTCGTCCCGGGCGTGGGCAGCCAACGTACTGGCGGTCACTCCTGGATGTTCTGCCCGATCCAGCCTCTGACGGCAGCCACCCGAGTATAGACCCCCGGAAAGTGGGGCCGCCCGCAGCCGTACCCCCAGCTGGTGACCCCAGTTAGCACCCACCGGCCAGAGGGCTCCCTGCAGGCCAAGGGTCCCCCAGCGTCACCCTGAGGGGAGGAAAGGAAAGGCCTTAGGAGCAGGCCACTGCCTGCCCCGCAGCTGCCCTTGGGCCCAGGTCCCTTTCCTCGTGAGCCTGGTTTCTGGGAAACGCGCTCTAGATTAGGACGGCCCGTTCGTGTGGCAGATCTTCGTGGACACTCGGCATCCCCCCGGGGCTGAATGGGACCTCACGCTGCGGTCCCCGCCCAGCCTCCCGTCCTGATGGATGCCCAATAAACGGTGGTGGAGTGAAAACTCCTCCAAGGCCAGAAAAGGTGCCCTGCTTCGTGGGCTTGAGAGGTTGGCGCCGGAGGGTCTTGCAGCGGTGAGGACTGCGCCCCGCGCCCCCCGCGGGTGGGACCTGGGGCCCCGCGCTCACCGAGCAGCTGTCCACGCCGCCCTGCGGGAAGCCGGCGCACAGCATGCGGCTGCTGATCTGCACCGGGTAGAAACGGCGGCACGTCTGCTCGCTGAGGAGGCGCACGGCCGCCTTCTGCAGCTGCCGCGCCATCGAGCCTGCGGGAGACACGGGGCCGTGGGCCGAGGGCCCTCGCGACGCGGCGGGGGTCGGGGCGGGCGGCCGCGCCTACCTCCCTCGCGCACCGAGCCCCAGCCGGTGATGACGCAGCGCGCGCCGTCGGGGGGCGGCGGCGTGGGCTCGGGCAGGCAGATGGGCCGCACCAGGCGGCTGCGGCGCACGGGCCCCGCCAGCTCGAGCAGCGCCACGTCGTAGTCAAGCGTGTAGAGGTTGTAGAAGGGGTGTTTGTAGATGCGCGCCACCCGCTCCAGCTGCCCCTCGGCGCCGCTCAGGAACGGGGTGCCCAGGAAGGCCGCCCACTGCCTGGGGTCCCCGTAGCTGCGGGGCACGCGGGGACAGGCGTCAGCCCGAATCCCAGAATCCCTGCGCGCGCCCCGCAGCGACTATGTCTCGTGCCCCCCGCCCCCCGCCCGCTCATCTGGAAATGGGGCTGTTGTCGCCTCCCCCCCAGGACTGCGGGGTCCCGTGCCTGTAAGTGCCGCGCACACGGAGGTGACGCCAGAAGCGTCTCCGTTTCCACCTAGTATTAGGGCTCTGGTGGTCGTGAGGGCCCCCGTCTGGCGTATTCCTTCTCCTGGAGGCCGGGGCCCCCAGCCTGGTCCACCCTACGAGCGCCCCCCTGGGAAGGGGACCCGCCACTGGGTGGTGGCCTTTGGTTCTGGTGCCAGGTGCCGGTGGGGCGGGCCAGGGTGGGAGTGTCCCATCGTTCCCCGGAGGCACCCCCACCCCCACCCCGTGATCACAGGCCTGGCCCCTGGTGCTGGGAGAGGCCGGGGCCAGGGTTCTGCGGGTCTGGACGGGGCCACAGTGCTGCACGGACAGGGCAGGGGCGGTCCGGGGCCGTGGGTGCGCTGGCTGGAGAGGGCATTCAGGGCCGAGGCGACACGGTGGGTTTTCAGACACGGCGTTCCAGTGCGCCGCTGGGCGGGGTGGGGTGCGGGCGGGCGTTGGGGTGCCCAGACTCACACATCGAAGCAGTGCGCCGCCGACAGCAGCCACCTCTCGGCCACCAAGACGGCCCCGCAGCGGTGCTCCCGGCGCCGCAGCCAGAGGCTCACCTGCCACGGCCACTCCCCAAGGGCCGCGGCGCTGCCGCCCACGATCCTGGTCGTCGCCGCCACCGGTGCCAGGCCACAGTCTGCGGGGCAGTCAGGTGACAGATCAGGGGGGGACCTGCCTTGGGAAACCCGCTGTCAGGAACACTGGCCCTGGTGGTGAGGCCTGCACACGACCTTCTCCGAGCTCCCCTCAGTATTTGAAATGCATTCTAAGTTTGCCTCCTTCATGGCTGAGCGCCAGCCCAGCAACTCCGCTCCCCTCGCTCTCCCCACCAAACAGCTCCCACTGCCCTAGCAGCCAAGCTCCTTGCTGCCCCAGGGCCTTTGCACACCCTAGGCCGCTGCCCAATAGGCCCCTTCCCTGTCCCAGCAGCTCCCGTGCTTCCCTGGATGCCCTCCCTGGTTCTCTTCACTGGGGTCCTGTGTCACCCAGTACCCGTCCTTCCACACTTCCTCCAGGCTGTGAGGTGTATCCCCCTCCCCCAGCACAAGACGCCCTCTCAGAACGCGACTGCAGATAGAACTGGTGGTTTCAAGGGGGGGCTGCAGGAACCCTCAGCACCCATGGGGGCACTCAGGGACCCGCCCCATCATTCCCAAAAGGAAACTCCCGCCCCCAGCCAGGTGCCTCCTGGCCCAGCCTCAGCTGGAAGGGAAGAATGGAGAGATGGGGGCCACCTGCCCTGTTCCCTTTCAGCCCCGCCCCCCGACGTGCCAGCGACATGGGGACCTTTCCCAGGACCGGGAGGCCTGGGGAATCTCCTGGAAACGCCACCCTCCATGGAACAAGGGGAGAAGGCGAGCCACTTCAGGGCTTTCCTCACTCCCCTGGAGGCCAAGTGAAGAACTTGGCCGTAACTATCCGAGACGTAAGAATCCGCGGGGCGGAGGCCAGGCCCGGGTGCAGCCGGCTGCGGAGGCCGCGTTTGCCAGCAACAGGCAGCAGCTGTGAAGTGTCCCGAGGCCGCCCCTCTGTGAGCAGCTCTGCTGGAACCCGCCCCACACCCAGACCAGCAGAACCCGCCGCCGGAACCAGGGCCGCGTGAGCACAAGAGCCCCCCGCCCCCGCCCTGGGACCTCGGTCTCCTTTCCAGTCCAGGTGCGGAACTTCCCAGCAGGTTCCGGGCTGGACGCTCCGCATCCGTCTTAACTTTGTGTTGCCAGAGAAACAAGACGTGGGTGCCCCTGAGTCTAGACCCTTGCCGGACCCCCGGTATGTGGTCGGCTGGGCTCTCAGCCAACGGAGACTGCTGCTTTTCAACGCCATCCGCCCCCACGGAGCCCCAGACCCCACGACGACCCACCCCTTCCTCGGTCGGAACCGCACTGTGGTTCCAGGGGTGAGCAGGCTGCTTCGTTGCCACAAGCCCCTAAACCTGATTTTGTGGGCACAAGTCTGTGCCTGAGCGACCCAGGCTCGTCGGGCCACGTGTGCAGACGTCCACGTGTGCGGGGAAAGGGAGAACAGCCCTCAGGACACATCCTGACGACGGGGACTATGAGCACTTTCCCCCAGCTTCTGTGTCCAGGGGTTAGATTTCACACACACCCCTGCCACTCCTGAACGGGACGCTGGGGACCTGGGGGGGGCGCCCAGGCAGGGACCGTGATGAGGGAGGGAAGCAGGGAACCCCCCCACCACAGTTTCTGTAGCAGGGGGTTCATGAGGATGCTGGAGATGGGGACTTGGAACAGCTGGGGATTCTGGGAAACTCCCCAGGAAGGAAAGTGGGTGCAGCCAGCAGAGACCGGCAGCCCCTCATGCCGCACCCCGGGGACTCCCAGAGGCTTGCTCCGTCCCTGCCGGCCTGCCCCCACCCGAATGAAGCCAGACCACTGTCCCTCGGCATCGGGACGCGAGCACATTCATGCCTGCTGGGGGCTGCGGCCGGCGCTCCTGCCGCCCCCCAGCCCCTGCCCCCACCCCTCCCGAGTGTGTTCCTTGAAACTGACACGGCGGGGGGAGCTGGGGGGATGGTCGCGGAGACAGGGGCCCACCCCTCGCCCACAGAAGCCAGGCCTTGTCCTGTCCTCAGCTGCCCACGACACTGCAGTACGAAGCGGGCCGTGCCGGACGGGGTTTGGCTATGGACCTGCCCGCACGTGTTCGTCCACTTCTGAACTTCTGATCGCTGTTTAATGAAAATTAACGCTTCAGACACACGTGAAGGAGCTCAAAGACACATTCGCCGTCAGTATCTCTCTGGGCCGGTTCTGCCAAGATGGGCTGTGCTTTAGCTGGGGGCCCCGGGCAGGGCCTGTGGGGTCACTGGGGCCTGCACTGCCCCCTTTCCTCCCCTGCCTGCCAGGGACTGTGCCTGTGTTTCGCCAACGGCTGGTTCCCCTAGCCCAGCGCGGCCCAGAGAAGCGTTCCGTGCACACTGGGCACATGGACACTGACGCAGACCCTCCGGCCTGACTGCCCACCTGCCCTGCTGCCCCAGAGAAGACTCCGTTTCATAACAGGAGCAGACGGGGTGTCTGGGTGGCCCAGTCAGTTGAGCGTCTGCCTCTTGATTTCAGCTCAGGTCACAGTCTCAGGATCGTGGGATCAAGCCCCATGTCGGGCTCTGAGCTCAGTGTACAACCTGCTTGGGATTCCTTCTCTCTCCCTCTCTTTCTGCCCCTCCCCCACTCATGCACGCTCTCTCAAAATAAATAAATAAGCATAAAAAAATAAAGGAACGCCTGGGTTGCTCAGTCAGTTGAGCATCCGACTTCAGCTCAGGTCATGATCTCACAGTTCATGAGCTGAAGCCCCACATCAGGCTCTGTGCTGACAGCTCAGAGCCTGTAACTTGCTTCAGATTCTGTGTCTCTCTGCTCCTCCCTGGCTCATGCTCTGTCTGTCTCAAAAATAAATAAACATTAAAAAATGTTTTTAATAAAAACAGTGGCACCTGGGTGGCTCCGTAGGTTAAGCATCTGGCTTCAGCTTGGGTCACAGTCTTGTGGTTGGGGAGTTCAAGGCCAGAATCAAGCTTTGCACTGACAGTGCAAAGCCTGTCTGGGCTTCTCTCTTCCTGTCTCTCTCTGCCCCTCCCCGACTGACTTGTGCTCTCTCTCAAAGCGAATAAACAAACTTAAAACAACTGAAAATAAATAAGTAAATAACAAAACAGGGGCAGACAGGGGCTTGG